CTCCACTTCATAACTGATTGACTTCTATCTGTGCCATCACTTGCCTTACCTCTGCCCACTAGTCTGGGAGACCCTCAAAGTCTGGGACGAATCTGTTATTTCTCATTGTTTTATCCCTGAGGCCTACACAGTGCAGGGCACAAAAGGTGAAGGTGGGGGACTTAGGGAAATCATTGTGGAATGAAGGAAGCAGGCTTATCAGCCAGAAGAGGTAGGAAGGCAGTGAGGATATGTGAGAAATTGCCTGGGAAGAATATCAAACCCTGGGCCAATCCCAGTTCTGAGGGACTTGGACTGTTACCTGTCCATCTCTGAATTTCATTGTCTTTATCTGCATGGCGGAGTCACCCGTCAAGCTCCACCTCTGTCATGGGCTGGAGGAACTGTAATAAAATATACTAATACATAAACAACTAAAATAAATATAAACTAATAACATAAAAAATTATAACAACAGCTGAGACTCAGGTATCACAGGTGTAGGCAAACACTCTACATGTATTTAATCCTCCCATCAGCCTTATGAGACAAATACTCTGATATTTGGAATCCATGTCATTGGCTACATACAGAGTTGCAATTGTCAAATCTTCCTCGTGAACAGAACTTGTGATTGTTGGGACATGCCCTTCTTTATCTCCATGCTTCTTGCCTTAGAGTGGACTTTGATACTAAGATTGCACACCTGTTCTCTTGGTTCATGTTTTAAAAGCTCCGTTCTTTTCTACCCCTTATCTTCCATCTTTCTGTATCCTTATGTTGTACATGTGTCTCTTGTAAGAAGTATAGAACCATGTTTTGGTTTTTGATCCATCCTGCCAGTCTTTATCTTTTAATGGGAGCATTTGGTCTCTTCACAGTTAATGTAATTACACACATATTTGGACCTAAATCTGCCCTCCCACATGTTTTTTCTCTGTAATACCTTCTCTATGCTCCTTTTCTCTCTCTTGCCTTCTTTGGGATTGGATGCATGTGTTTTGGTAAGACTCTTATTATCCTTATTCTACAGATGGGAAAATTGAAGCACAGAGAAGTTAATTAACTTCTTTAAGGTCACAGTGATAAAGGGCACAGTGGGCCTGGTATCTTACCTCATTAAGCTTCTATTCCAGCCAGGGAGCTGGATACTGCACAAACAATAATGCAGATAAGTATCTAACTGCAGCTGTGATGAATGCTATGTAAGAAATAAAATTGAAAAAAGTGGCAGAGAAAGGTTTCTAGGCCCCAGACTTAGGCCTCCCCCACCACCAATGTCCCCATTACTGGGGGGACTGAGCGTTTGCATCATTTCCCACCCTCTCCCTCAAACACACAAAGGAGAAAAATATTTTTCTTGTCTCTACTCCACTGTGCACAAAACATTTGGAGCCAGCCAAGTCCTTTTTGGCCTCAATGTGCAGCCCCCATCCCTTCCAGGACCCTCATAAATGTTCTCTGGCCTCTAACAGAGCCCAAGGGACTCATTGAAAAGCTTGATTTCTCCAGCCTGGGCCTCTTCTGCTAGATATACTTGCTTCTTTGCCCCTAAAAGGAGTTCTCATACCCCCAGTCTTCAGGTTACTCCAGCTTTGAGTCCCTCCTCCCTCTAGCCCAGCAGTGTTCCACTCAGGGTTGGGAGTTGTCTGAGTCAGACTCTGTCTCCTTTTGTCCTCCAGGGTGAAGCAAGGACTGAATACTCTCTTTCTGGATTCCCAGAATATGGGCCACATCCAGAGAGGGTGGCTAGAATTTACTGAAAAAATTTTTAAACTTTTGAATTACATACTTAAGAACCCCGGTCTGCATTAACTTTTCAGTGAACGAAAGCAGCAGAATGTGTGGGTAATAATACAGTTTACTGAGGGCTTACAGTGGGCCAAACCTTGTTTTAAGGAACTCACCTGCATGATTTTATAAAGTTAAGCCACTTGCCCAAAGCCATCCAGCTATGATGTGACAGAACTGGATTTAGAACTCAGATATATCCAATTCCAGGGCTCTTAAAGAGTCCTCCATGTGCCTAAGGGCATGGCATGTGTATATCTCCCAAGCTGTCAAGAACCTAAAAAGGCAGATGCTGTGATCACCCAGGCTCACGGTTAAAAAACTGAGACCCAGAAAAATTAGACGTATAACATACACTCATTGTAAAACCTCAATAACTAATGATAATGAATTGCTAATATTTATTAAGCAATTACTATTTTGTAATTGCCCCATTATGTTCATGGTTTTCAGTATATAGACAAGGGGACAGATGTAGAAGTAAATATAGATGTGTGTATGCATAGGTTAGCAGACATATTATGTATTTCCTAACTCTTGACAGCTGAGAGGGTCTCTAAGCAATGAGCACACCCAGTACCTAGAGCTTAGTTTCTAAATACCGTTCTCCAAGAACAGGAACCATTTTCCTTGGAGAAACTGCTGACTCCAAGGATATTCCAAAGCAAACATGGAGGATCTTGTGCCAAAAGTAAAAAAGTACTCAGAGAAAGATGGAAGACATGTTAAAGAACATAGGAGATTAACTTAAAGGGGCAGCAAAATAAATAACAGAATAAAATTCTCATGAGTTCATAGCAATATAAATGTGAATAAATACATAATTGGAGAGTGGACAGCTCTTGTTTAGAATTCCAATTAATAATTAAATTAATAAATAGAAAATAGTAATAATTGTTGGCAAGAGCCATGAATGGATGTTAAAACTTGTGGGTGAAAAATGGTTTTAAAAACGTTAAAAAAACAAAAGTTTTTGCATGGTCTCTTAAGTAGCTCCCTTAGGATACTTATTAATTGGAAAGGTGAAAATACAATAAGTTCATACTTGAGAAGCTGTCAAGACACTACCTTAACCAAGTAATCAGTCAACATTGCATGCCTCACTCAGTATGATGCATTGAGAAGAACACAGCATCGCTTCTATGGGATTCCTGCCCAAACTCCTTAACTACACTCTAATCCAGAGGAAACACTGGATAAACCCATATTGATGGATTTTCTGCAAAACCAGTAGTCTTCAAAAATATTAAAGTTATGAAACAGTACGAAAAGTCTGAGGAACCGTCACAGAGTGGAGGAGACTAAAGGGATGTAATTAAATGCAACGCGGGACCCTGGATGTAATGGACCAGAAAAAGGTCAGCAAAAGCAGAAAAGGGATTCTGGAACCTCGGTGACTGATTCCTAGCCTGCAAAGCTCGGGCTTTGGCAACTACGCAGGCGGGAGAGGGACTGCTTGATTGGCTTTCTGTTGTGACGCACACGTGAAGCGTCTAAGCCCCACCCTTTCCTGCCGCGCCTCCACGCACACAAGTCGGCCCCGGGCACGTCGCCGCCACGCGCGCTCGCACGCATGGTGCGTGGTGACGTCACGACGGCGCGGACGCCATCCCGGAAGCGCGAGCAAGGCCGCCAGATGTGCAGGTGCCACTGCCACCGACGCCGGGGCCCAGTTTGGGGTGGGGCTGGGGTTACCGGGGCCGCTGGGAAGCTGGGCCGGGTCGAGCGCGGCCCTCGGGCTGTCTCGGGGGTGGGGCGCGCTACTGGCCACATCTGGGCACCCCTCCTGCGCACAGGCCTCAGTTTCCCTGTCTGCTCAGTGGATCCGAGTCCTGAGTGCGGGAGTTGGGGTCACCTGTGTTCAAGCTGTGACGTGTCACCCAGAACAGGGTTGTTGCCCTGGTTGGGCTTCAGTTTCCCCGCTTGGCAGGGGCGGGGTGTGAGGGGAATTGCGTGCCTCGCTCCCACTCCGGGGTTATGCTAAGCTTGGGCCGCCAAATTAAATCGTTAAATGCCATGGGTGGAATCGCGTTGCTTCTCCGCCTGGCCGTTTGACCTTGGGCAATTGAGCCCACCCCTGTGAGCCTTAGTTCTCCTCGGAGATGATAGTGTTTGCCTCGTAGGCGTGGTTGGGGATTAAATTTACTCATGTTCTTGGAAGCACCTTAGAGGGTCTCGTCAAAATGCTGATTCCCGCGCCCCACCCTAAAACTTCTTAACACTCCCCTTGGAGAAACAGCCTGCTCGTAGTTAAGATTCTCACCGTTGGTTTCAGTCCCCACAAACAGGACTGTGAGATTCTGATTCTTTGTTATTCCCATTTTCTGGATGAGAAAACTGGCTCATGAAGGTGAGGTGACTCTCCCAAAGTCACACAGCCTCCCTCTTTGCGTGTTTCCCTCATAAACATACTTAAAGCAGAGACCAGAGCCCTTGCTGGGTCATATCCACCTTTATGTGGTCCACACTAGCTGTTAGGGAAGGCTTCCTGAGAGAAGCAGCTGAGAGTGGAGGGATGTGCCTTGAATCCCTCACATATGAGAGCCAGAGACAGAAAAGGACCCAACTTTGAAGCAGAACAGTTTCTTGCAGGTCCAAATCCTGTGCCTGCCAGGCTTTAGCTATGGGCTTTCTGCCACATGACTTTTGAGCCCAAGTATCCTCTTTAGACATGATCATACTTTTTTGGAAATGTGGAGACTGGGTGTCTGTACCTAGCACATAGGAGCTGAAAAAAGTGATAATTGGCAGGGCAGGGGGATTTCACCAGGTGTGGCAGCTTATTTCCAGAAGGCATGTAGGGGCTGCAAACCTCTAAGCCAAATTCAGGGCATAAATACTCTTGGCTCCATGGTGTTTGGGGGAAAAGAGTATTAGTTGCTAAAATTTGTCAGGTGATTTCACAGAAAAAAAAATCCGTACTTCTGGGTATTTTTCTGGAAAAAAATCAGAACTCTGGTAGGAAGCAGCTGCTGTAAGAAACAGCTGAGCTATCATGGGTGGATACTGAACATCTGTACAGAGTCACACCTTTGTGGATCCTTTGGACCGTGGTATTTGACTTAGGTTCACTGGCTATGTGACAGTAGCTCAGTGCCTCAATCTCTGAGCTTGTTTTCTCACATACAAATAAGGGTAATGGTTCCTATATATAAAGTTGGTACCTTGTTTAGCTTACAGTAGGTACTAAATAAAGAGGAGGGTGAATTAAGTGGACTCTGAAAGCCCTTCCTGATCCTGTGTGTGAATCTTAACCAATGGTAATTGGGCCTTTCTGTCGGCCATTAAATGTGGGGGCTCCAGAACCAGGCTATGTCAGGATTCTGGGTTTTTCCTGAAGCCCCCCTACCAGGTCAGTGCTGAAGCTGTGGCCTTTCTTGCCCTGGCCTGATCCAGGAAGCCCCAACCCACTGGGATGGTCATCTTTGCACTAGGGAAGCTGAGAGCCCTGGAGCCATTTGGGTTGCTGGGGCCCACATCCTGGCTGCAAGAACCTGAAATTCTTGGCTTTAATGTGCTGTTAAAAATTTAGTCAGAGCTGAGTTTGAAGGTCCTGTTTGCCTCTGCCAAAGGAAGTTCTGGTGATCCCTTGCTGTGAGCCAGGTTCTGGGCTGGGCTCTGGAGACAGCAGTGAGTGAGAGAGACACACGCCTCTACACTTTTGGAGTTGACAGTGCTGTGAAGGGTGACAGGCAAACAGATCAGCTGTTAACTAAGGTAATTTCAGGCAGAGATGAGCCAGTGAAGCAACTAAAACAAGGTGAAGTGATGAGTGACCAGAGTAGTAGTCATCAAGGATCTCCTGGGAGAGAAGACACTAGGTGGTGATGATCTGAGGGGGCAGTTGTGCATATTCCACCCGTGGGGACAGCACTCTGAGGTGGGACTGGGCAAAGGCAGGGGGGTGTGGGAGGAGGTGGGCAGATCTGTGCAGGTGGATGGTGCCAATGGCCTTGGGCATATGGAGATTGGGTGCTGGGGAGAGGAGATGGGATTCTGATGTACTTGGGTGCAAGTTCTAAATACGAACTCCTGTAGTTCTCAAAATACTCCTGAATTCCTGGGACGACAAAGCTGAGGTTTAGGTGGCATAAGCCTCTCACTTTCAAGCAGCCTGTGGGATTTCTGGGCCCTCCTTTCCCACCCCCCACCCACCCATGTGCCTGGTGCAGACAAGATTTTCTTCCTGTTTCAGGCAGCGGAGGAGGAGGAAGAGATGGACCCCCCGGACTCGGCCTCGAGGGTCTTCTGCAGCCGCATCCTGAGCATGGTGAACGTGGATGACGTCAATGCCATCATCCTGGCCCAGAAGAACATGTGAGTGGTGGCCAAGGACCCTGGGCCCCAGGCGTGGGAAGGAATCCACTTACCAGCCAGCATTGTTGCCCTGCCCACCCCTATCCGGGCCCCACACTGGTGATAAAATGAAGGAAATGAGCAAATTTGCTGGCTGGTTCCAAAGCAAATTCCTTCCTGGCCTGGAGGCGAGGCCTTGGCATAGGAAGCAGGGCTTTGAGATGGTTTCACAGCTGCTTGGGGAAAGGAGGGGCCTGCATCAGCTCCTGTCCCCAGGCCTGGGGTGGGGAAGAGTTGGGGTAAGAGGGTCTGCTGGAGATATAAGGGAGCTGTTGGGCTGACTGCCTGTTGGGGTCCTGGTCTGTCAGAGCCCGGGCTGTCTGTAGAGCAACCAGGGTCTCTTGGAGTGGCCATGAACTCCCTTTTGCCCTCTTTGGGGCTTCGCTACATGGCCACTGCAGCCCCATTCTAATTCTGGCCTGACTTGTGGGGAACAAAGGCTGACACAATCTTGGGGTGGAAGCACAGCCTCCTGGGGCTTCATTTTTGTGTCTTTAAGCCAGACTCTTCCTTCCATTTATGACACAGTACAGACCTGATACCCCCCCCCCCCCCCCCGTCTTACCCTGTGACAAGGGTGCTGGGTATTTCTGGGTATCAGCAATACCTATCTTTCTCCTAGTTCTTTAGGTCAGATTCAGATTTGACCCTGGGGAATTCCCAGCATGAGGGGAGACAAAAACCAGACACAAATCTTCCTGGCTCCATGGTGTCTGCACCGGGCCAGAGAAACAACCTGAGACTAGGGGAGTCAGGGAAGTCAATGAGTCTGCTTGAGGGAGGTGGTGAAGGCTACATGAGAAGGGCACACCTGAGTAGGGTTTTAAAGGTTGAATAGGAGTTTGCTAGGTGGTTCAATCACTAGAGTTCTGCAGAACAAGGCAACAGCACTTGTAAAGGTCGTGGAGAAGGAAAGGGTTTAGCATGATCAATTAGCAGGGCCCTATAGGCTAAGCAGAGATGTTGGTGCCCTCTCTCTGCCACCAGGCTGGACCGCTTTGAGAAGACCAACGAGATGCTGGTGAACTTCAACAACCTGTCAAGTGCCCGCCTGCAACAGATGAGTGAGCGCTTCCTGCACCACACAAGGACCCTGGTGGAGATGAAGCGGGACCTGGACAGCATCTTCCGCAGGATCAGGTGGGTGCTCAGCCCCGCCAGGCTCTGCCTCCCACTCCAAGCTTTGGGTCCTCCACTCTTCAATGAAAGCTACCCATTTCATGTAACAGGGCAACAGTGAGATCCAGCTCATTTGTTTTATGAGACTTCATCATGTACTTAGCATCCAAGAAGGCCTGAATTCTGGGATAAAAATCCTGAAGTTTCTGAATTTAAATTTTATCTATCTTTTGAAAAATGCAACATAGCACTGAACACATAATGCAAAAAAGGCAGGCAAAAGCCATTAGTGAAAAGCCAGCCTTCTGTTCCTCTTGCCCTCTACCCAGGTCTTCTCTCAAGAGGCAAATGAGATTGCTGGGTTTTGGGGTATGGACAGCCAGCACTCCCCGCCTCCCCCTGACCTGCTCATTGGGCCTCACCCCCTAGGATGCAGGGACAGGTTGGGACAAGTAGCCCAGAGCAACTGTTGAGAAGGGGGCAGGGGAGCTTCTTGAAAGGTTGTCTAGGTAGAGGAAGGTTAAAAGTCAGAAAGGCATTGCAGGTAGAGGGCCCAGCAAGTACCCAGACCCAGCGCCGAGGATGCATAGAAACTGAAAGCTGGTTGGCTGGTGCCTACCTTGAGGGTACGAGGTCTAAAGGGCTGAGTGCCTGGGCCTCCCCCCATCTGGGAATGGAGTGTGACAAGCAGTGAGGGGGAAATTCCCGCCACTCACCTGCCCAGAGCTGACAATAAGTGTTACTGGCTTGCACAGAGCCTACCTAGCCTGTCCACTCAGTGGGTTCAGCCTGTGTGCCTTCCTTTCCCCAACAGGACGCTGAAAGGGAAGCTGGCCAGGCAGCACCCGGAGGCCTTCAGCCGTAAGTGTCACCCAGGGTTCCTGTGCCCCACATCTGACCTCTGCATCCCTTGGATGCCAGCACCCTAGGCCTTGTCAGAGGAAGTGCAGTGTCCCCCAACACTGAGTTTTGGTATACCCCCATGTGTTGAATGGGCCAACAGCTCCCCACCCTAGGGCTGCTGACATCCACAGGCTCAGAGGCAATGCCGCTGTCATCAGCACCAGTTTATCAACCAGGGAGCTGAGGAAAGGGCAGCAGAGGGGCCTGGCCCAGATGATATAGTCGAGGGCAGAACCAGGCTCAGGCTCGCCCCCAGGGCCCATGTTGGCCTGACCCAGAGAACCTGGGTCCTTACCTCACCTTGAAGGGAGCCCTCTCACCTACCTGAGCCTGAGTTCCCTCTTCCGTAAAATGGGCCAGGTCATGCCGTGTGCGTGTGTGTGTGTGTGTGCGTGTGCGTGTGTGTGTGTGTGTAGCGGGGCTGTTAGGGGTCACAGGCCCAGTTAATCCCTCATCACTGCAACTAAGCCAACTCCTGGGCCTCCTTCCTCCAGACGTCCCAGAGGCGTCCCTCCTGGAGGACGAGGATGAAGACCCCATCCCGCCCAGCACCACAACCACCATCGCCACCTCAGAACAGAGCACAGGCTCCTGTGACACCAGCCCCGACACTGTCTCACCTTCCCTCAGCCCTGGCTTCGAGGACCTGTCCCATGTCCAGCCTGACTCCCCTGCCATCAATGGCCGCAGCCAGACAGATGACGAGGAGATGTTGGGCGAGTAGCCCTGCTCCCAGGCACTCCAAGGGGTCTCAGGGCAGTGGTGGCACTCCCTATGTGTCTGAGGTGGCAGCAGGTAACCCTGCCTCAAGATGGTCAGCTTTGCCACCCTATTCTGTCATCTGGGGCTCCCCAGGGGACAAGGCTCCTTCCCAGGGGTGTGGAATTCCTGGAGGTCTGTCATTCCCACTCCTTCCTCACTGAGAGCCTCTCCTGCAGACCCTCTGCCAAGCCAGAGGATGAACAGCCAACTGGTTGGGCTGGGTGCAAGGAAGTTTTTTCCAGAGCCAGGCCTGAGGCCTGTTCTGAACACTTAAAGGTTCCTAGAAACCAAAGCCAGATGTCCCCTGCCCCAGCACCCTGGTCAGGACCTCCTTGATGTGGACAAGCACTATCATGTCTGAGTTCACCCCAGCTCACTCCAACACCTAATTCTGGTCTCTCTGCCCCTTTTTCCCACAAAAGTATTAAATACTTTCTCCAATTGGTATCTCAAGGAGGTTTCTGAAATAGTTGTAGAAAGCTCAAGACAGAGGCTGCCCAACCACTCAGCCCCGAGCCTGGTAAGGCCCATGTTTCTCTGACTAGAGATGTGGACCCTGAGCTGAGGGCCCTGCAAGCCTCTCCTGGGGCCTCCATGGAGCAAGCCGAGCCACCTTGGAAAACAGAGTTTAATGGAATATTTTTGTACCTGTTGTTTACAGATGCTGTTGGGAAGTTATCAATAAAAAGACTGCATTCTAAAAAGAGAAGGGTGTACCTAGCAGTAGTTTCCTTCCATCCTTTGGTACATCAGCTCAGAAGGGGAACAAGTACTGGATGTGGGACAGGATGGGGTGCGGTCAGGCACCACTAGGCTAGAAAAAGATGTGGGTGCCCTTGGTGGGAGTCTTCGGTGGTGGCAGCCATAGTAACTCAAGTTCCTATTACCATTGCTCACAACACTGTTCCCTTACCTCCTTGAATAACTCTTCCAGAACTCCGTCTCAGAGTAGGCTCCTCAAGGAGCTGAGCTGGGTACCATTCCCCCTTAAACACTCACGGAGTCCCTTCATCTATGACGCACTTAGAAATTGTCATTAAAGGAATCTTCCCAGATCCGACAGTGTCTGCTTTTGCCTGGTCCATATAGGGGCGCTGGGAAGAATTCAAGGAAATAAAGAGGTGCACTGTCAAACCTACAAATCCACAAGTAACTTCTCGGTCCTCACCTCTTTACCGCGCTGGGCACTTTTTGGCAGTCCACGAGTCTCCTGGGTCTCACCCCATTTTCTAGCTCTGCCTGCTCTCGCCTGTTCTTCCTGTTTTCCTGCGTGCCGCCCTGAAATCCATCCGCGGCCCGAGAGCTTTGATTAACTCCAAATAACTGACTACGGGTGTTAAGTGCGTACGTGGCTCCCAGGGGTCCCGGCCCTGCACCTCCTCCTACCTTCCCCGCCACATTCCTGCGTCCTGGACCCGCAGACCCTTTGCATAATGCCTTTGCTTTAGCACAAAAGAGTTTACTCAAAATGCACCAGGGCGCCCGCAACGTGCCGTCCACAGCCGACGAGGAAAAAGCCGGTGGAAGCACCTGGGAAGGTCTGGCAGTCTCTTCACGTGATCCGGGGCGGAGCACACACCCCGAAGCAGGTGGGCGACGTTCGCCCACAGTCGCCACGGCTTCGTTCGCCAGCACGCAACATGGCAGTGAGGCGGGGGCGGGGCACGGCGCGGATTGTGACGCAGGCGCGCAGCGTGCTCGGTGCGCAGGCGCTCTCGGCGGCAATTCGGCGGTTTCCGGTTCCTCTGCCCTCTTTCTTTTCAACGAGGCGGCGGAGCAGGTCGGTGGCTGCGTCTGTGCGGGTTCGCGCCGTACCGGGGTCAGGCGGGAGGTTGCGGAGGGCATGAGGGCCCGAGTAGCTAAGGGGGCGGCCCTGAGTCCGTCCGTGCGGGCCTGGTTCCGCGGGCCTGCTGAACAGGGTGCATTGGGCGGTGTTCCGAACACGGACTGGGCCCCCAAGAGGCGAACCTGCCTTTAGGAAATTGGCTTGCCCGCGCCGCCCGCCTGAGCTGTCTGACGGAACCTCGGGAAGAGGATGGGTCCTCTGGGCAGATCTGATTTAATGGGGAGGAGTATTAGGCATGTAACTTTAACAGTGCCCGACATTGGCAGTCCCTTTAAAAATATTAAAATCTGCTTCCTCTCGAGCAACCTGCCTCCTTTTCTACATCTGTAAGGAGAGGTTGGTAGTGTCCATCTTGTAGGCCTTTGTTTTGAAAAGGAAGAAAATTAACCCGTGTAAATAAGTATCTGGCACATGGTTGGCAGATATTTATGTGTTGAAGCGAAGGCAACATGTGTGGTCTGAGAAATTTGGGGGTAACTGAGAAGGAAATGAGTGAGTTTGTGTTTGGAGTTGGAGATAGTAGGGGTGGCTACTAAGATGGGATGTCCACCCAAGCTGCAGGAAGGACATTTTGGGGAACAGCATGTTTTTTCCAGGTACCATTAGCTCTAAGTCAAGTCGCTGCTTTCAGTCTAGTTGTGGAGGGGGCATTTTTGGGGAGCAGATGTGGCCGGGGGCTGGTGGGAGGGAGGGAGAATGGATGGATGGATGTGACCTGCAGATCACACTTGGAGAAATCTGCCTGGCAAGATGGTGCCCTGGCCATGTACTTCTCATTCCATCTGCAGGCTTGTGGAAGGAAACAGGCACTGGGACGGGTCTAAAGTTGGGGTCCTTGCAGGCACAGGGCTGGCCAACCCCGGAGCTCAAGATGCTTGGACCTGCAATTAATCACTACTCTGTCCTACTGTTCAGCCTCCCCAGCAGACGCAGAGATGCAGATCTTTGTGAAGACCCTGACGGGCAAGACCATCACACTTGAGGTCGAGCCCAGTGACACTATTGAGAATGTCAAAGCTAAAATCCAAGACAAGGAGGGTGAGTTGGGCTGAGCCTGCGTGCTGGCATTGGACAGACCTCAGCCTTGCCAGTGCTTCCCCATATAATCTTAGGAAGGTGGTTGGTCATCTCTTTCTTGGTTTCCCTTTTGACAGATTAGGGGTAATGATGGAGCAGGCCTGTTGGGGGAGGAGGGAAGAGCTGCCAATAATATATTTGCCAGAACCTTAGTAACTTAGCTTTCTCCCCAGGCATCCCACCTGACCAGCAGCGTCTGATTTTTGCGGGCAAACAGCTGGAGGATGGCCGCACTCTCTCAGACTATAATATCCAGAAAGGTATTGGGGGTGTGGTGGCTGGACAGGGCCCCATGAAACCTAGAACCCAGGTGGGGTACTGTCAGCCTTATTGGCACAGGGGGGTTCTTATGGTGATTATCAGGAGAAGGGAGTGTCTTGATTTACAAGATACTGCTTTCCTCTCTAGAAAGTGTCTGTGATCTCTACCTGTTTCCATATGGCAGTGGTTTCCCATGATCTTCATTTTTTTTTTTTTTTTAACATGTTTTTTTTCTTTAATGTGATACCTACTATAAATGAAATCAATGTCACTCCTTGTAGCAACAAACTTGAACTATCTTGCCTAGCAAAAATAAAAGGTCACCCTTGTACCACTGAGAAATCATTTTTCCTGTCGGGAAACCCAGCTGGACACTGCTGTTGTCATACAATAGTCTCAGACTCCCCGGGGTCTGGTGGGAGGTTCTATGGGTTGGGCTGGTCACACCTGAGATGCACTGGTCTACAGGACTGGAGGGCCCTGCCCTGCACCTGGCAACTGCTGAGTCACTGTCTCTCCCTGACCCTCATTATTTATATAGAGTCCACTCTGCACTTGGTGCTTCGTCTGCGAGGTGGTATCATTGAGCCTTCCCTCCGCCAGCTTGCCCAGAAGTACAACTGTGACAAGATGATCTGCCGCAAGTATGTATGCTCTGGTGGACAGGCTATCCCTGGAGGGGAGGTGTCAGTTGCCCTCACTAGTCCCTCCATCCCCATGCAGGTGTTACGCTCGCCTGCATCCCCGTGCTGTCAACTGCCGCAAGAAGAAGTGTGGCCACACCAACAACCTACGCCCCAAGAAGAAGGTCAAATAAGGCCCCTCCACCACCTCCTTGGCCCACAGGGTGACCTCCTGCCCAAACCCCTTGGCCCCGGGGCTTCAATAAAGTTCCCCTTTCGTTGACTGGAGCAGTAATTGGTGTCCATGTGGCTGGTCTGTCCAGTGGGGAGGTGGCCAAGGTGTGGGGATCTCCCTTGGGGACTTGAGTGCAGAGCCCTTGGTGGTCCTCTTTCCTGGGTTTCAGTAATCTCAGCTGTAAAACGGGCTGTACTCCTGGCCTTCCACATCTTGAGGGGTTGGTCGTAACCAGAGCACAATCGGGTTCAGTCCTGGCCCTCTGCCACATCACCTAGCAAGCTCACCCATCTGGGTTTTGTCATCTATAACAGGAATGAAGACCCCAGCCCAGGGACTGGTGGGGCTGTGATCAGCTGGGCCCTGGACTGGTCCAGGTGTGGGTCGATGGGAAAAAAGTTGGGATAAAACACCTCTCCTCAATTTTAAACAGTAATGTGCCTCACCTGAGACCAACGATCTCACGGGTAGGCATCAGTGTTTGTTTTTTTAAGACTGCACATCAGGTGAGGGTTATGCATTGGACTGCCCCTGACACGGCCATAATTTTTTGGAAAATTGGGGATTGGTGTAGGTGACAACCCAGGCCTGCACAATGCCTAAGAACAGCTGAAGGAGCTGGCCAAGCGGCTCAGTTGGTTAAGAGCGTGAGCTCTGAGCAACAGGGTCGCCGGTTCAATTCCCACATGGGCCAGTGAGCTGCACCTGAGCTGAGCAGCCGCTTAGCTGCCCACAGGTGACAGGATGCTCAGCTGGTGAGAGTGGGTGCTCCTGACAAGGTTGCCAGTTCAACTGCATGGGATGGTGGGCTATGCCCACTGGCAACTAAGATTAAACTCAGCACTGTGAGCTGCAGATGGGTGGCCGGAAGGTGACTGGACTTGGAGCTGAGCTAGCTGTGCCCTCAACTAAGACTGAGGGACAACTTGTTCCCCTTCCCCAATAAAATCTTTAAACAGCTGAGATCTTGCAGTGCCAGTTAAAGGCTGGAGTTTCAACCAGTTTGGTTCATCCCTGTCAAACTGCACCCCTCACTAGGCCAGGCCACTACCAACTTTCTGTTCTTCCCTGTGTCCACCCTTGGAGAAGGAAGCTTCTCAGCTCCAGCAGAAAGCTCAGACTGCCTTTGCACTTAAAATGAGGCCCTGTTGGCCTCACCCCTGCTCCCGTTTTCAGGTCATTTCTCAGGTCGGTTGGGTTCTAGAGGCTCTCCAGTGTCTAACTGCGTGGAAATCCCGCTCTTGTCACAACTCTGTCGCATTAGATTAGATACCACCTAGGGCTCCGTTTTCCTTGAGTGGAGGGGATGAGAGGAAGTTGTTTACATAAGCTCATAGAAACAAACCTACAAACCAAGGGACAGCCTTGCTGTATTCAAAGCCAAACATTCAAGGACAAACAGGAAAAGGAAGGCACTGGGCGAGAACAAGCGGAAGGGTGGGATGGGAATGGTGGTCGGGACTGAAGCCCCCATTCTCTTCCTGGGGATCTTCAGGTTTCTGGGGTGGCCGGCCACAAGCTGGGGTCTGAGACCTCCGGAACTACAGGGGGCGCCTGGCGCAGCGGAGCAACCAGTTCCCAGGCGTGGTCGGGGCTGCGCAGTCATGATCACCGCCGAGGCCGCCGCTGAGTCCGCCGTCCACACCGCGCCCGAAGCAGAGGCAGCCACAGGAGCCCCAAAGCTCGAGGAGCCGGTGTGGCCCTGGGTGAGCCCAGGCCCAAGCGGGAAGGGCGCGGGGCGGGTGATGCAGTCTCGGGGGCGTCGGCTTCAAGCCCCAGCCATGCTCCCCGCTCCGTAGAAAGATGCCCCGATACGGGCGCTGGTGCAGCGCATCTACCAGTTGCAGGCTGAGCGCGCGCAAGCCTTCCGCCGGCTGGAGGAGTAAGTGCGGGCACAAGGGCGAACAGGGGCACCGGGTTTAACTTTTAGCCTGCTCCGGAGGTGGGCGTGCCCGGGGGCGGAGCTTTCCGGGAGACCCCGGGCGCGTTCCCACTTCCCGACGTCCCACGGCGTGGGGCGCCTCTCTTCCCCGAGCGGGTGGGCCTGCCTCGGGTTCCCCTGCAGGAATCAGCGTCCTCCACATTCTGGGATCCAGGGACACTTCCTGGGGGGCTTTCAGGTGGCCGATGCGGGTGAAGGACCTGGGAGTGTAGCCTCAGGACCCCCACCTGCCGCAGAGGCCACCGCCAGTACCTGCGCAGCGGCCCGCCCTACGACTTCCCGTACTACCGGAGCAAAGTGCACGAGGTGACCCGGTCCTTCGCCGCCGCCTCGCGGGAGGTGCTGGCGGTCGAGGCCGAGTTGGCCGGGCCCCGAGCACAGCCGCTGCTCGCGGGCCACGTGCGCAGCCTGCAGCAGCTGGAACAGACGCGCCTGGCCACGGTGAGGCCCCACCCCCGGCTGCTGTTCCCTATCCCAAAACCTGGTCTCTCCCGCGGTGGCCTGCTCGGCTCATTCTGCGCCCTGGGAGCAAGTGGGCACATTCTGGTCCCCCACAACCCTGTTCCCGAAACCCCAGACTCCGTCTCTTCCTGCCCCACCTGTCTTCCACTAAAGCTTAATCTGAGATTCTCCGCCCTCCTGGTCCCCCCCGCCCAGCCTAGTCTCTGGGCCTACTTATCCACTAGGGTTCCAAAGTCCCGCCTACTCTACCCCTACAGCCAATCCTGACCTAGAAACACTTCCCAGTCCAGGCGAGCCCACGTCGCATACGACACTGGGATCCTCAGGCCACGCCCACTTCTGAGATCCTTGTCCCAGTCTAAGATTGTGGCCTACTTCCACCCTGGGATTCTAACGCCCTGCCCCCAAGACTATGAGGCTCCAGCTACTCTCCTCCTACCACCAATCCTTGGCTGATTGCTATTCCTTCGCCCACGTGTGGCCACGCCCACGCTGCGCTAGGCCTGCCTACCCTCACCCCTCAAGATTGTCTCTAAAATGAATCCTAGGCTCCTCCCTCGCAAAGCACCGCCCTCCAGATTCCCACCACGGCCCCGCCCCTGCACTGTCTTTCTGGGTGTCTCTTCGTGATGTGTGGGAGGGCAGGGGGTGGCCTCTGCCCACTGTGACATCCTCCCTACTGCCCCACCCACCTGCACCAGGTGGCCCTTCTGCAACTGATGGGGTCACCAGAGCTGACTGAGCAAGAGAACACTCTACAGATACGCCAGCTGAAGATGAAGTGAGTGCCACCTCCCAGTGGCCTGGCCATACTAGACTCGCACATGCGCCAGGTGTGCCCTAGGGCTGGCACTGTCAGACCCTGTGGACCTGCACACACCCTCCTCCATTTACACACCAGTCCCGCTTACGTGGCTGGATGTGGAGCTTGGACACGGTCACCCAGGCTCCACCGGGCATACACCTGCACATTCTTGCCCTCAACCCTCCCAAGCATACATACATGTATACCCCCTTGATGTCTGCCACAGTCACACTGTACACCCTCCTAATGGCATACATCCACCCAAGATGTCTATTTCTTTCTGCCCACTGTGACCTATGGGACCAGTTCTGCTCCCAGGCATCCAAGTGGTTCTCCCCGCTGCTAGTGCTGCCTGGAGGTTTGGCAGCAGGTAGGAGGGCCCGAGGCTTGCCACAGTCCCCTCAGCTACCCAGCGGAGGCCAATTTGCCCCATCTGGGTTTTATTTATAGTTCCTATCCACTTTTGTAGGGTAATTAAAACCATGGATGCCATCAGCGAGGTTCTCCAGGACCTCAGGTTTGATGCAGAATTTGCTGAGTGATGGCAGCTCCCCAGGGATGCACGGAGAGATGGGAAATGGGGCAGGTGGTGCGGTGCCCAGCCCAGCCCTGACTACCAGCTGGCTGGGGTTGTGCCCTGCCAGGCTGTTGACCCTCCTAGAGGTCTCTGCACCTCCCACAATAAAGAATCATTCATCCGCAGCTGCTTTACTGTCTCTGCATCCTGGAGTGCTGGGGTGTATGTGCCTGCAGAGGGGGCCACACGGGCAGGGATGGAGGGTGGTAGACCCCCGCCCCGCCTCCCCCCAACTGAAGAAACTCTGGTGTTTTGAATCACACTCTCCAAGGAGTTTAAAACCAGATATTTCAGATCCTGGAGAGAAAGAGTCTGAAAGTCTGGGAGGTGAGGATTTGAATCGCAAAGGGTCATTAGAAGTCCTCATGTCTCCCCTACAGTTCCCGCCGCAGGCCGCTGCAGCCCAAAACTCACCTACACAATCAGGGCACCTAAATAGCTTGTTTATTTAAAAAGACTCTGGAGGGGTCCTGGGTGAGGGGAGTAATGACCCCTTTTCACCCCTGGCCCTGGTAAGGGTTCTGGGCAGCTTGACCGACCCTCACACATTCCCACTTGGGTGCACCCAAGGGTGGCCTCACATGGAGGCCAGAGATGTTGTGACCCTTACAGCTCAGAGCACCTGCTCCAGCTCCTGCTGAGGGTGCTTGGGCACCCTGAGGTGAGGGTACAGAGGTGGCCCCAGTCTGGGAGCAGCCCTGGGTCTCCACGTAGCAGGGAGGGCGGCCCCAGTCTCTAGAGCTTATCTGGCAGGACCTGCAGGCAGAGGGGAAGCCAGACTAAGCGGGGTGCCTGGGAGGGGCCAGCACCACAGAGCAACTGAGAAGGGCCCCCATTCAGGTCCTGGCCTGGCCACTTTCAGCTGGGTGACCTTGTGCAGGGTACTGCCTCTCCCTGGGCCTTGATTCCCCATCTGAGAAGTAAGAATATCCGTCCCAGGAGGTGTCCTGCAGGTAAAGCTCTTGGCACTGGGCTAGTATGCAGTAGGAGCTCAAACATGCTAACTTGGGCAAGTATATTCGTTCATTCCTAAGGATGACATTCCACTTTGGACATTTTCAAGGGGTAGGGTGCTCTTCCTAGGCTAAAAGCCACAGGTCCAGGCACACAATAGGTGCTAAGTAAATGCTGATAAAACTAAAGCCTGCGGGGCGGGGAAGGCCTTTTGGCCACCAGGAGGGCCCATGTCTCCTTGTCGCCCACCCACCTGGGCTCCTCTTACCTCTCGCCGCGCCGCGTCTGCCCGAGGGCAGGATCCCCTCGTCCTGTGCTTGGAAGGAAGGAGGTGGTGTCCGGGGTCTGCGCACCTACCTCCCCACCCCATTCCTTATCCCTCTCCCCCGAGTCCCTCCTTCCTACCTGGTTGCGGGTCTTGTGCGACTTCTGCATCCAGGCTCGCCACTGGTCGTATAGGCGGAAGCTGAGGTTCGAGCAGTATGCGTGCTTCTTGAGCCAGCCCAGGAACTGCTTGAGCTCGCGCCGCACCGGCCCCGAGCTCGGCTCTCCGCCCCGCGGCTCGCACGCTCCGCCGCCCGGGCCCGGGCGCTCTGATGGGGCGGAGCGGCAGCGTCAGGGCGCGCCCAGCAGAGGGCGCGCGCGGGCAGCGGAAGGAGGGTCCCCGCGCGGCGAACCGCGTTCCCCTCGGGCACCTCCCTCCCATTTCCCCGGGACCCGGTCCTCCTCACCGACCAGCCCAGCAGCCCAGCTGCGCCCGAGGAGGTGGGGGACAAGGAAAGGAAAGGGCTCCTCCTCCACATCTCCTTCAGGAACTCGATTCCTGTGGCCTGAGCCAGGTGTGAATGGAAGGAGGTCGGGAAGAAGGTGAGAGGCCAAGGCCAAAGGGATGAGAAGCAGAGACAGAGCAAGGGGCAGAGAAAGGGAGAGAGATACAGAGGCAGAGACTTGAGAGATGGGGAGGACAGACCGGAGATGCTGCCAGGGTCAAAGGCATTGGGGAGAGCCAAGGAGATTCAGAAGGAGAAGGAATGGAGTTGGGAGGGCAGACAGAGCCTGGGGATGTAGGGATGCAGAAACCAAGAAAGGCAGAAAGACAGAGGCAGGGGAAGAGAATGACAGAAAATCCAAAGGAGACAGGCCCTGGGAGCATGAGCCAATGGTAAGGGCAGTGGCTGGGAGGGCCAGGTGGGAGGCTGGCCTGTCTGTCCAGCTGCTGGATGCAGTCAGCCCCGAACAGTCCGGCGGATAAGGACATCGGCCTCACGTCATAAATAACGCGGGGGACCCGCTGACAGGCCCTGGCACAGCCCAGCCCCTGCCGCCCCTGCTGGCCTCCTCCGGCCTCCCCCGGCCTCCCCAGCCTCCTTCGCGGATGCAGCCGCCTGCTGGCTCCCGTGCAAGAATCACAGGTGCTGGGCACGAGCAGGGGCCAAGGCTCAGGCCCCTCCCGGTCATGCTAACTCCCGCCCACCCCTGAACCTGGAGGGGCCCATGATGGGGCTGGGAAGTTGGCTGGAGCTGGGCTCTGCCCCTCCCTGGCTCTAGAACCCTCTCTGGGCCTTGGTTTCCCCCATCATCCCACCAACGTGGGCCTGGACTTCCAGCAAACTGAATTCAGATCCCTGTGTGACCTTGGGGGCTAGCTGAACCTCCTGGGGCCTTAATGCCCTCACCTGAGAAAAGGGGGGCCTCTCTTGGGGTGAAACCATGAGGGGAGCAGGGGAAGGGAGACTTAATTGGCACTCACCATAAGGGCACTTTCCATGGGTTATCTCATCTCACATGTACAATAATGTAAAAGTCATTATTATCCCCACTTTCCAGATGGGGAAGCTGAGGCCAGACATTTAAAGTAACAGATTTCGTATCATTTCACAAAGGAGAGAACAGAGATCCATGGGCTCAGAGGAACCCCAAATGACAAGGAGAGTCAGACCCAGGCCCCTGATCATCCCCATCCCCCCACCTGGATCAGAAAGGGAAACTGAGGCCCATCAGAGGGAGAGTTGGCAGCCCATCAGCCTTGGAAGCAGAGGTCTCAAACTCACTTGCCCCTACGGGCTGGGGAGGGGGTACAGTTGGGTTTAACAGGCCAGTTGGGAATGGGGCAACTGGAGAGAGAGGACCCTGCATGAAGGGGCAGCCTTTGTTGATGGGGGCTGTGGAGCAACGCTGGCTGTGTGTGTCCTGTTATATTTTCTAGACAATTTTTCTAGGGAATCTAGGATATTTGTGTTAAAACTTCCTGTTTTAAATGTCTGTTAGTAGATCAAAGTTTTGTTTTGTTTTGTTTCAAATGACAGGCCAAAGAAAATAGACCCAGGGGCCACATTCGGCCCACAAGGGGGGACACCAGTTTGAGACCTCAGTAAACAAGAAAACAGAAGTCCAGGCTGGTTTGGGGGTGGGCCCCAGCCCACCCAGCCCTGTTGGGGTGCTCACCACTGCGGGGGGTGGAGGCCGCGGTGGGGTGGCTCCACTCACTCCAGATCCCTGCCTTTTTGGAGCCGTAGATGCCAAAGGGGTTGCAGCGCACTTGCACGAAGTATACAGTGCCTGGCTTCAGGCCAGCCAGGCGGCATGAGGTCTGGTTGCTCACGTCGTCCACCACCTGGGCGGCAAGGGCAGGGTCAGAGGCCAGGCCAGGGCCAGACCAGGGCAGGGGCCGGGCGGGGTCGGACACCTTCCAATCCACGCTGTCCTCCACGCGGTAGCGGATCTGGTACTTGGCTTGGAAGAGGAAGTCCTTGAGGGCCGGCGGGGAAACCCAGCGTACGCTCAGCTGGTCCTCCAGGCCCCCAACGCGGCTCACGTGCACGTCCGGCGGGGGATCAGTGGTCACTGCGGGATGGAGCGGGGGCGGGGCAGGGCTTAGTCAAGGGCTCCTCGGACCTGGCTGGCCCCCCGTCTGGGTTCAAATCCCAGAGCACTTGACTCAGGTGGCACCTGCTTCCGTCCCCCGCCCCTTCCCCGTCCCCCTGGAGGCCGGGTGGATTACATTAGACGATATTCGGGAAACACTCAGCGCCTAGAAGCACTCAATTAATGTTAGCTGTTATCACCATTATTATCTGTGACAGGAGAAACATAATCCTATCTTCAGGGAACTCTGTAAAAGCAGACACTGCCTGGCCTTTGATATTATTATTATTATGCCCAGGAGGCCAGGAGGCCAGGGGGTGTCACCATCCACCTCCAGCTCCTTCCCGCTGAGTACGACAGCCTTGCTGGATGCAGAGGGACAAATGAAGCTGAGAACAAGCCTATACCACAGCTTCAAGACTTAAGGAAGTGAAGCAGGAAGCAGGGGGTGGGGGTGGCTGCAAGCCTGGAGGCATCCAGGGATCCTTCTGGGAGCCCTGTGTTAAGCAGGGAGAACTAGCTCTCCCCTTGAGGCCTTGGTGAGGGGCTGAAAGGGTTAAGGCACAGGCCTGCTCAGGGCTGAGCAACACCCTAATTAGATTAGGCCCAATTCTGCTGCAGATCATCCATTTCCTGCCTCCTGCCTGCACACCGCCCCCCCCCCCAACAGCTATAGTTTGTGGCTTCCTGGGGCGCCTCCGACCTGGGCGCCCCCTCCCAGCTCCCCTGGGGAGCCCCCTCCCGCACACCTGGGCTGCCAAGGGGAGGGGGCCAGGCCAGGTGTTCTCCAAAGTATGGGGGTATCCTGGCTGCTTTGGGGGCTGGGGACCGATGGGTACTCCCCACCCCAACCAACAGGGTTGGACCCAGAGATGCAGCCATGGCGGGGCTTGGGAAGGACAGGATCCCCCCTGGGCGGCGGGGGTGGGGAGGCTCACCCACATCCAGGATGTCCAGTGTGAGCACATCTGAGCGGGCCGAGCCCAGTCGGTTGGTGGCTTCTACCCAGATCTCGTAAGGCGTAAAGAGGGCTAAGTCCTTGGGGATGTGACAAGAGTGGGGTCCCACCGTGTGGTACTCCTCACATGTGTTATCCTGCCCATACCACCTGCAGGGGCAGGAGGGAGGGTGAGGACACATGAAGGTCCCCTCAGGGCCTCAGACTTCACCAGGGCAGTCCCAGGGTACAGACAGGACACCGAGCTCGGAGGGGGTGAGTGGGCTTGGCAAAATCCACACAGCCAGGCTGGGACACATGTCACCAAGGGCCACCACCAACCTCAGCTTGTACTTCAGGGAGTAGTTGGTGTGGAGAAAGGTCTCCCCATGGGCCCCCGGTGTCCAGCGGCATGTCAGGTCCTTCATGTTCTTGGACCAGCAACTGATGTTGAAGGGTTTCTCTGGGGGCACTGGGGAGGGGTGCAGGGGCTGAGATCTGGACTGGCCATGGGCAGGTGGAGGAGCTGCTGGCTTCCAGCTGGCCCCCACCTTAGAGTGCAAGGAGGGTGAACGGGGTGGATGTTGGCATGACCCCTTCATGGACTCTCTTGGGGATGGTTGGGGAGGGGTCTCTAGGCTCTCATTTCCACCCCAGAGGCCAATACCTCTCAATCCATGCCACTGCGTGTGCCCAGCCCTGGGCCAGAGGGCCCATGATCCATGCCCCTCCTCAGAGGGAGATGCTGCTTCCAAGAGCTACCTCTAAGCATCCTGGGAGCCACTTACAGCCAACATAGAGGCAAGAGCCAGCCAGGATGCTGCCATCACGAGCGTGGCACACGAGGTTGTCCCCTGACTGCTGCCTGGATCCATTGAGGTTGGCCAGGGCAAGGGCCAGGGTGGAGGTGTTGAGTACGCGGGAGAGCTCAGGGGGCAGGCGGCGCCCGTTGAGAGTCCAGTAGAGGCCCTCGGCTGTGGGGCCCGGCTGGTCCCCGTGCACTGAGCACGTGGCCTGCAGGGAGGAGCCGATGAGGAGCGTGGGGTCCTGGGGACTGATCACAGCTGTGTCTGGGGTCAGAGAAGAGTGCTTGTCAGGTCTGAGATAGAGATGCCCTGAGCCCCGACCATGCCAGGACCTCCAGGACTCATGGCAGTCCTGCAAAAGAGCTCTTTACTATTGTCCCCATTTTACAGATAAGGAAACTGAGGCTGTTAGTTCCTTCCAATGCACTTCATCACCGACCTGCTCAAGGCTGAGTGGTTACAAACCTCAGACAGAAATGCCCACTCACATCCAAGTCACTCTAGCTTTGCACATAATTCTGACAAACCCTACACTCTGCTTTTTTTTAAATTTCATTTTATTTTTGGCAATTAGAAATAAAAGATTGTGAGTTCTTGTTCTCATAGCCTCAGGGCCTTGCACACAGTAGGTGTTTCTGTGAGGGTATTCCCTATGAGAATCCTACTCACTTGATGGGTGAAAAGAAACCAAGGCTCTGAGAGATGAAGTCCCCTGCCCAATGTCACTGACTGAGGGAAGGGCACACTATTTAAACCCAGACTTGTCGGTCCCCAAGTCCTACTCTGTGCTGGAATGGAAGGTGGCTGGGGTAAGCTCTAGGCCCCCAACCCATATCAAAGGGACTTGACATCATTGCTCTGTCCCTTGACTCGGTTTTCCTAATCTACAAAATGAGAACGAGAAAGTTCCTGCTCCCCAGGGCCATTATGATGATCAGATTCTGGGAAGCGACTTCCTAAACTGGGTTGTGAGTTGGGTACTGGACCAGGAGGCCTCAGGAACACCATGGTTGATGCCTCCCCTCCTGCGGGCTGTTGGGACAGCCCAGGGTTACCCTTTTGGAGATAATAACCCAAGAAGAGCCTATTTTACCCACAGGGAAACCAAGGCCCAGATAAAGGGGAGGATATGCACAGTCCAAGCCCCTGACACCCCTCTCAGTCTCCTTATCTGGGAAGTGCACATCATGGTATCAAACACATGCGGTTGTTTGAGAGGAGTGAAAGTATTGTAAGGACAGCTCTGTGGGACCTTTAAGCCAGGCTGACCTGGGTTCCAATGCCCTTAGCTCACTGGAAGCTCGGTTCAGTCACTTTTACTTCTCTGAGCCTCTGGGAGGGAGCCTCTCCCTTCAAGAGCAGTTGTGGGGACTCATTCACTCACTTGTTCAATTCACTGAGCCTACAGTGCCAGAAGCTGGGGACACCATGGTGACCAAGATACCCAAGATTCCTGCCCTAGTGGGCCTTGAATCCAGGGAAGCAGCAGGAAAAAGAACAAATAAATGTATCTAAGAATATAAATTGGGAGAAAGTAAAGCATGAGTCAGTAGTGTCGGCTCAATGGCCCAGGAGGCCTGTCTGGGGAGGAGGCATTTGTGCTGAGACCTGAATAAAGTGAAAGAAGTAGCCATGAAAATATATAGAAGAGAGTGTCTAGGCAGTGGAAGCAGCAAGTGCAAAAGTCCTGTGGCAGGAATAGTAGGAAATGAGGTCTTGGAGGTCAGCAGGGGCCTGACTGGCAGGGAGAAGTTATTCCAGGATTCTGAAAAGAGGAGGGATTTACATTTTAAAAGGATCCCCAGGCAGCTGTAAGAAGGGACTGCAGGGGGGGCAGAGGGGCAGAAGCAGCCCAGTTTCGGTGAGATGGCAGCCAAGAACAGGGTGATCCTGGCCCCCTGGGAGGCCCCCTGAATGCCAGCGACTGCCTTGCCTTGCGATGGCCTTCACTGCCCCAGATGGGAGAGGTGGGGTGGACACGGTTCCAAGGGCCGGCCCTGATGATTTTCCGGGGCAAACTTGGCTTGAGGGCCATGTCTTGCTGGAGCTGGGATCACAGTTGAGTTTGAGGCTTGGCCCAGGGCTCTCCGGAGGTCTCAGCATCCGTGCGAAGGAGCCGGCTGAGCAGGCCAGAGCAGAGGAGGCGGGAGCGGCCGGGGGCGGGGGGCCAGGGGGCCGCCCTGGAGGTCCCAGGCAGCCAGCCGCTCGCTAATTCGGAATTCCTCCGGCAAGAACACGGGCTTGCCAGCGTCTCTGCCCCGGCCCACCCACCGTTTCCTGCCTGGGCTCCCCCCAGCAGGGTGGGAGGCACTGCCAGGCCTGCCCAGACCCCAGGCCCACTCCCAACCCTTGGGGGATGGGTCATGTCCCTCCTGCATCCCCCCCACCCATCATCACAGCCTAGTTAGGAATGGGCTTTCTGGGGGGTCCTGGCTGGGGGGCACTGCCCCTCTGCCACACCCGCCTGGCCTGGTCTGGTGTTGCCCACTTGCCAGCAGCTGCAGCTGCCCTCCTGGGGCTGGGCGGGGGATGGGGCGAGAGGGCAAGGCCAGGCGGGCCTGGACAGGCCAGTCCTCACCCCCACCCCCAAGCTCTGGCAGGAAAGGTCAGAGGGAGGCCTTTCTCCTCTTGGAACGTGGGTGACAATCTCAGCCGGAGCACCTGGGCAATTGGCGTCCCCTCTCCTACTCTCAGTTTCCTCTCACATAAAATGGGAGGAAAATATATTCTACCTGCTAGGGAGATTAATGAGACGAGATCATGAGGTCCAGAGTGCCTAGGAACTATTATGATTATAGCCCCTCCCAGCTCTGGGGTGCCGGCTGGCTCCGCACTCTCTCCAGACTTCTCCAACAATGCACCAAGGCACTTGGGACTGGGATGCACATTCCAGCCAGACGAAGCAGCTGGGAACAGCCCACTGAGGTTGGGGGGGCCTTTAGACTGATTTGGGGGGCCTCCTAGAAGGCTCCCCAAAGCAGATACCTGGGCTAGGCTTTTGCACACACCCCCATTCTCGCTCCCTGCCTCCCTGCCTTTCCCACAGAGCTGGGGCCTTTAAAAGTTTTTCCTCCCCCACTTTCCCAATCTGGAGCCACTGCCGTTATTAAAAAGGAACACCATGTGTTTTAAAAGGGAAAAGTGTGAGATTCTCTGCAAGCAACGCAGGAGGGTGGCCTCCATCCCAGGGTCCCCACAGGGGTTCCCATCTCCCATCCCATTGGTACCTGCAGACACTTTACGACCCACCCGCCTGCTGGTCAGGTGCTAAGACACACCGTAAGTAGAAACATATTGCCGAGGTGTGAGAATCTTTTATTTAATTTCTTCCCCCTTAAAGGAAAAAACACACGCACAACAACACTCCCCCCACCACCACTACCACCTTCCCTGCTGCTCTACAGGCTGGGAAACAAAGCCTGCCTCAAACGGTGGCACTCACATGCACTGCCCACTGCCTTGCAGAGTCCTCAGGGACCCCGGGGCAGGGGCTGGGGCAGCTCCTCACCTGCCCAGGCACCCTGGGCATGCTGGGTTTTCAGCAAATGCCCCTGGGGGGTGCCCAGACCCTGCCCTTTCTGGAGGAGCACTGCAGGGAGCCAGCAGATAAGTTGTGCGCAGTGTGGGAGTGTGGGGCCACCTAGGCATCAGTGTGTGCCTGCCTGGGCAACCTGTGTGCCTGGACGGGGTCTGTGGAGTGACTGTGAGTGTCCAGGGCAGGCTGTGTCTGCGTGTGTGCTCCTGTGCTGTCGCCCCTGAGGAATGAGTGTGTGGCCACAAAAGTGTGTGTGCCAGGGATGGAATGTGTGTGCGCCCCAATGGTGTGCGAATGTGCATCTGGGATGCAGTGTGAACGCGTCTGAGAGTGAGGGTGACGGGCCACAAGCCAGTGTGTCTTTGTGTCTCTGGGTGTGTCCCAGAGTGGTTTGGATGTGGAGACGGTGTCCTGGCGTGGGTGTGCATGGGGTGGGGGCCAGAGCGTGCCAGAGGCTAGGAGCTCCTGATGGGGCAGGGGTCTTACCCTGTTGGGCTGTGGTTCCCGCTCACCCCCAAGGCTGGGCCCCCGGTGCCCAGACTAGCTGGCTCCCACTTCCTCTCCCTCTCACCCACGGACTCACAAAGATTTCTCTCGCTGAAGGCTCCCAGCCTGGCCCAGCCCGTAGGGGACGGTTCCGAGCGTTCCCGGTGGTGGGGACTCCGCGCACCCCCGAGAGCAGGGTCCCGCCGGGGGAGGGCGGCGGCGCCGGCCCGCGGAGAGGCGCGTCCCCGGGGACCCCGGGCCGCGCGCCAGGCGGCCAGAGCGTCCCCCCTCCCGCCCCGCCTTTCTCCCGGGGCTCATCCCTCCTTCGGGAGGGGGGCCCGCTCAAGGCCCGCACCCAGCGCGCCTACCGCGTGCGCCCCCGCCCGGGAGCGGTGCCCCGCGGTCACCGCGGCTCCGAGCCCGCGGACGCTGTCGCGTGCGCCCGCCAAGTCCCTGTATGCAGAGGGCCCCAGGCCGCGGCCCCCCAATCTCTGGGGTCCGGACCGAGCGTCCTTGGCCCGGCGGCCCAGGTAAGAAGGCCTCAGGCACGGAAGCTGGACCCTCGGGCCGGGGAACTGCAGCGTCGTGCGCCCCGCAGGTGACGACGCCCCGAGGGCCGTGCGGGGGGCGCCTTCCTTTGTTCCCGGGCCGTCCAGGTGGCGCCTGCGCCCCCTCCCCCCCGCGGCTGCCCCCAGGGCGCACGCTCTCCGCCCAGGCGGGAAGGGGGGAGCAGAGAGCCGGGTACTTACGGGCTCCTGATCCGGGTCGCGGCGCCCCGAGGACGCAGAGCAGTAGTAGGGGTAGCAGCGGCGGCGGCCGCCGCGCGGATTGGGCGGCCGGGCCCGGGCGGCCGGCGGGCAT